TGGATAATTATCGCCAACACCACCATTATCATCTTCTTCATAATATTGATACTCCGCATATTTATTTTTATTATTTTTCATTATTTTATTTTTAAATTTTTTTGTACCACAAAAAACGTTTTCATTTATAATTGACCAGACAATAATAATAATTAGTATTAGTCGACTATTAGTTGTTTAAAAAAAAAGTTAGTTGACTAAAATAGTCGATTCCAACCTCTACCACATATTAATGTTCATAATAAATACAAGTGACAATAATTTCATTGTTTAAATGACGCCTCTTCAACTGGCATAGTGCAATCTGTTCAAAGAAGAACAAGAAGTAAAGTTTGGAACCATTTCGCAGTTCTAGATGGAAAACCAAATGCAATTATTGTATTAGGTAAATAATTTTTTTGACCTTGAAACCATTTATTTCCAAAAGTAACTCTTTTAGAATTTAAATTATTTCATATGATATATATTTCGAATTAAATAATTTTATGTATGCTATCTGAATATTGGGGAAATTTAGTTAAGGATAACTTTAACACATCTAGATTTTATTCCTTTCGTTATTTTTTCCCTAGATCTAAATTGTGATTGGCAAAAATTTTAAAAATCGGAAGTTGCAGCGAAAGAAGATGGTTAAAAATACCTTACGAAGCTTTAGAAAAACTCATTGAAAACATGTCAAGAAGAATTGAGCCGTGCATTTCTAATAATGGGTGGCCCATATTTCGTTTTTTTTTTAATTAACTAGAGAATTTGATTTGTGGTGACTTCGTCACCGACCAGTACATATAAAGAGATTTGTGATTCGTACAACAATAAATTATTATTTTTTATTTTTGTTTTTACAATAATATTTAATTCTATTACAATTACAGTATTACTATCGAGGTACAGGAAATGGAAGTGAGTTGGCAGCAATTCTTTCTAAACGTTCATATTCTGCTATCATTGATTGATCAGTAATAAATGCTTCCCTTGCAAGTGCATTAATTTTAACCTTCTCCCAATCAGTGCAACGACTTAGAGATACATATGCTTGACCTGCTGCAAATATTTGGGAATCGAGACTAAGAGATACATCAGGTAAAGTTAATGATTGTGTTTTATGTACTGTCAATGCAAAAGCATTTTGGATCGGAAATTGTTCCCTACTTGCAGGAATACCATTCACCAAGAAATTTGATGTTTGTTTTTTGATATCCATATCTACTATTCCAGAGTGAACAGAAAAAGCAACTCTCACTTTCATGTTTTCTACATCAACATCAGTTATTACCCCAATGGTGCCATTGCAGATTTTATGTTTTACCTGAGAGTTGTTGAGGAACATAACCCTTGCACCAATCTGAGCTCTCAAAATTTTTGGAAGGTTTGTTTTATTTTTAAACAGTTTGTCATTATCACAATCTACAATCTTTCCATCTAACATATCAGTGGATTTGGATATTATAATTTTATTATCCAGAATAGGTAAAAGATTACATATTGTCCTATTTATTTGATCAGCACATTCTCTGAGGCCAACAACATGTGTTGTGTTCAAGATAGACTCTACAGAGTTCTCAAGACTACCATAAAACTTCTCTTCTAATTTCTGCCAAACCTGTTGTGAAATATTACCAATTCTGATATTTTGTAAGAGGTTGTAAAATTCAGGGTCATCATTTTGTCGATGTGAATGGCGAAGAAAGAGTGGATAGAATAATCTCCAAATAGGTGACTTATATACAGGATAGCCATTTACTGGTGGAAGTTGTGCAAGGTCTCCAACAATGATGACATTTATGCCACCAAAAGGTTCATGGTTACAGTGAATTGATGAAAACATTTCAGATATGTAGGTCAACAGTGATGCTGACACCATTGAGATTTCATCAATTATTATTACAACAATTTCTTTTAATTTTTGGTTAAATTCTTTATCTACAAATGCTAATGTTTGATAATTTTCACCATTAGATCTAATTTTTAATGCAGAGTGAATCGTTTGACCTTGGACATTTTGGGCTGAAATTCCTGTTGGAGTCATTAAGAGAAATTTTTTTCCTGATGATGTAAATATCCTTTTCAACATATTAATTAAATAAGATTTTCCAGTTCCTGCACTTCCAGTTATGAAAAAATAGGGGTAATGGTATGGATCTCTTTTCCCCATAAAGTTTCTAATTGTTTGAATACATCTGTATTGGCAATTTGGCAAGTACAGCATAGGATTATTTGGAATAGCAGCAGGTAACATTTTTATTTTTTCAAGTTGTTGTTTTATTAGTTCTTTTATATCACAGGATAACAATGGTTGAAGAGTCTCCATGAGAGTTTCCATAAGTGCACCATACTGGTCCAGAATTTCAATGGTCTGATTATGTTGATGTTGCTGTTCAAAGTTCAACAACTGTAAAGAATTTTCAGGATATATGGCAAGATAATGCTCTCTATAAGTTGGGTAAGATCCTATCAACTCTTGCTCACTTCTTACTGGAAAATTCAACAAAAGCCTTTGGTAAAAATATAATTCACCATGCTCCATGTGAAGAATTCTATATCTGACCAAAATTTTTTTCTTCCTTTTAATAACATAATTTCCAAGGAGATCACGGAATATAGTTTGTCTTGTTGAATTTAATGGTGACAAAGATATCTTATATTGTTCAAAATAATCTTTATATAACATGGATTCAAAAGGTTCTCCAGTTGGGCGCCCAAAGTATTTCTCTATAAGGTCTTTCCAATAGGGATCATCATCATCCAAATCAATCATTGAAATTGGTAATGCACATTTTGAGCGGATAGCAGGTGGATCAGTCACTAGGTATTTTACTTGAACTGAAGAATTACATATCTTTTCCCCAAGTAGTAAAAACATCAACTCCATGGAACCTAAACGACGTGCATGCACATGTTCACGAAGTATGTCCCCTTCCTGTACATTGAAAAGGTGGGATGGTTCTGGTTTTGTAATATATTTATTGATGTATTTTGCTAAACCTTTATTTGTAATGTATTGAATATTCATATGTGCATTCCATATCAACAGAGTAGGGGCATGATATGGAACTACCCATTGGTCTAGGGGATTAACACATTTGTAGATATATCGAATGTTATTTGAATCCATATAAGTATGTGAAGAAAAAGGTCTAGGAAATCCCTTTTGACATTGTTCACCAGGAGGAGCAGGTCCACCACATTTTGAACTGCAAGTGTGTATCTGAAGCCTCATCACATTTTCATAAAGCTCAGGTTCTAAACTTGGGTCTGGAATTGTTGAACAAATGGTATTATCAGCAATCATCTCAGGTATCAATTTGGCTGTCCAATAAACTGCATGAATGTGTGCAGCACCACAATTTTGGAATTCAACTCTTTCAAAGTAGTTATTACAGGTGCCCCATTCACTCACGTCAGGATCTTTCCAAATGAACTTTTTTAAATTTTGAAATCGATGTACAAAGTGCAGGGTAGAGTGTAAAGGTCTATTTGTTGGTAATCTGTCACCATTATCAGTGTTTCCTAAAATGTGGTGTAAATGTGTCCAGTGTCCTTCAGCCATTGACAATGTAATGAACAGAGTTGGAAGACCAAAATTTTTTATCATAGTGTTCAAGTGCATTAATTTTTGGTGAAAATAAGTATCACCTGTGCGTATGAAAGTTGGTAGGGGGGATGTTTTTTCTTCATTAAATCTCCAACTGTTTGTGTAAGTACTACGTTCAATTATTT